TCTACCAGATTGCCGAATCTAAATCAGATCGGATCATAATTATAGCCAGAATGAAGAAATTAATTTTCTGTTGGTTCCCTCTCCTTCTCCAGCGCTGCTGACGCTTCTGATTCTCTTTCTCGCTCGCACACTCTGCCGCGTTCTGTGCGCGAGCAACCCCTAGCGGAGGAGATGTAGAATCTTAATGGTACATGTACAATCTTCATGTTAGATGTATAATATACATAATATATGTAGATGTAGATAACAGATGTAGCAAAAAAAATGTAAAATGTAAACATTTTTTTTTTTAATTCTAAAATTCTAAAAAATCATATGCTCAAAAATGTATATACTGACTGAGTACGGGTATACGTAGAGTCGCGTCCCCAGAAGCTACTCGCACGTTCCTTCTCGTTTACAATGTACTTGACACATTTTTTGATTCTTGTGTCCCACTTTCTTGTCCGGTTAGATCTGGAAAGCCTCCTTGGTTTACCAAAGAGTTATCCAGTCTAAAAAATTTAAAATCAAGACTATAAAAAATTTCGAGAAGTTGGTTCTCCCTCTTCTCTTTTTCACTATGTAATAGCTCGGTCAAATTTCTCCGTTCTTAACGCTCAATGCTATAAAAACTACCTATCTCGATGCAGGATACGATTTTCACAGGACCCTTAACAGTTTTACAGCTTCGTAAATAGTAAGCGTAGAACGTCCGCACATCCATCCTCGTTATCTTTTCTCAATATGTCAGCAAACAATGATCAGGCAATTGCCGATCTTTTTGCCAAATTTTTCCAAACAACCTATTCTCATGAAAGCTACTCTGGTCAGCCGTATCCATACAGTTTACCAAGGTTGAATGGCATCTTCAGCCCCTTGTTAAATGAAAGCTCACTGCTTCATGATCTTCGACTAGTTAAGCCGGTGTTTTCACCAGGTCCCGACGGAGTTCCCGACTGTGTACTTAGGTACTGTGCCGACGCTCTGTGTGGACCCTTGCTTAAACTATTCACCCTATCTATTAACTCTTCATGCTTCCCCCCATCTGGAAGGAATCTTTTATTATTCCGCTCCATAAGAAAGGTGGCAAGTCTGATGCAAATAATTATAGAGGTATATCTAAGTTATCCGCTATTCCTAAAATGTTTGAAAAAATTGTAACTCCGCACTTGCAACATATCTGCAAATCACTTATATCTCCGTCCCAGCACGGATTTATAAGGCGACGATCAACAACCACAAATTTATTAGAGTTTACCTCTATTATCATTAAAGGCTTTCAAGGTAACTTGCAGACGGATGTCATTTACACTGATTTTAGTAAAGCATTCGATTCTGTAAACCATTCCCTTTTAGAACAAAAACTTGACCTTTTAAGGTTTCCGCCTAATCTTTTGAGATGGATTTCTAGCTACCTTCGTTCTAGGTCTCAAAGAGTCCTCTTCAAAAACTCCTTCTCTTCACCTGTTAAGGTTACTTCTGGAGTACCACAGGGCAGCCATCTAGGCCCCCTACTATTCACACTCTTTATTAAGGATCTGCCTTCAGTATTAACAAACTCTCGAGTACTCATGTATGCGGATGATGTTAAACCTTGTGTCCAGTATAAGGACATTTCATTTCACCCTCGCTTGCAATCCGATCTCAATAACTTTCAATCATGGTGTTGTGCAAATATGTTACACCTAAATGCCTCGAAATGCAAAGTAATGACATTTCATCGCTCCAGCCCCCTTTTGGCTCCTTATAGCCTCTGCGGTGGTTCTCTTGAGAGAATTACCTTGGTTGATGATCTTGGTGTTAAATTAGACCCAAAGTTAAAGTTTTCTGAACACATTTCTACCATGGTAAATAAGGTCATGGGTGTGCTTGGGTTTATAAAGAGGTGGTCAAAGGAATTTGACGACCCCTATATAACGAAGACTCTCTACATCTCGCTTGTTCGTCCGATTTTAGAGTACGGCTCTTGTGTATGGTGCCCCCAGTACAAAGTACACCAGGACCGTATAGAATCAGTCCAGAAAAACTTTTTTTTTGCTCTGCGTGGCCTTAACTGGGATGCAGGTGTGAGACTGCCATCTTATCCTCGTAGATTGCTTTTAATAAACCTTCCAACCTTAGTTAGTCGTAGAAAAATGCTTGGTGTGATTTTTATGCACAACCTGATCAAGGGTGACGTAGATAGCCCTGACTTGTTGAGCCGCATAAACTTTACGATTCCTATTAGATCTACTAGAAACTTCATTTCTTTGTTCCTTCCGCTTTGTAGATCGAATTATTCCTTGCACGAACCATTTAGGGTACTTTGCTCGGACTTCAATTCCCTCTACCACATAATATCAACTACTAATTCCCTTCCTCTTCTTAAATCACTAATACTAACATACCTTTCCCGTAATTAGTTATATTTCTTAGCTATCTTTGCATGTTTAGCTCTTTGAGTTGTGTTTAGCTCTAATTTTCCTCGAATTTTAGTCTAACACCTATCTTTCCTGCATGCTCGCGATCGGTTCGGTAACACGCGTCGCGCGTCATGCGGCAGCGCCCCTCGGTCGGTTGGGCGGGAGGAGGCCTGCGTTTCTGCCTGGGTTCCGCACGTAACAGGCTTCGGCTTGGTGTCGCATGGGCCACTTGATGGTGCAGTCATTGCATATCAACGTCCAGACAAAAAAACTTGAGCAGGTTTTTTACTGCCAATAACTGATTAATGACGATATGAATGGTATCAATATACATGCAATAGATTTCACCAATTATCCAACTCATTCAGCAAAAAAATATTTGAATTTTCTTGATTATAATTTTTTGTAAAATTCGGTAGCAACCTCTAAAAAATAAAAATAAAATAAAAACATGTTAATTACTATTAAATCCAAGGTATTAAAACTTGGGGGTGTCCCGTTTGACTTACGAAAATAAAATGTTAGACCCAGCCTAATGTATACCCTCCAATTATTGCAAATCAAAATTTATGTTGAACGTATTATTCGACTCACTTCTCATTCACGCAACCACAATGTGCCACAGTGAAACGTGCCGACCACGTACAGCTAGCTCAAAAATAAATTTGCAATCAAAAAATAAATTTTCATAGACTTTAATGAACAATACGCTTAATTAATGCGTCTATATAAAACTAAAAATTTTGGCCAAGAACAATTTTTTTTTTTCCTTTCCCGAGTTTTTAAATTCGAAATTTTGAAAAAAATACTGCAAAAAATTATGAAATTTGAAGTTGCAGATACAAAGTATCGGGGTGGGATTTATAGTTGCATTTGTCAGCTTTTCAGAACGGCAAAGTTCTATGCAACCAGATATAAGATACTTAAGTTATGTGAAAAAAAAACATTAAAAAAATAACAGATTTTAAAAAATTCTTATACAAAAATAGCTAAACCTTAAAAAAAACCATAATTTGATAAAAAACGAGAAGGAACGTGTGAGTCGTTTCTGGGGACACGACTCTACTTATACCCGTACTCAGTCAGTATATACATTATTGAGCTTATAATTTTTTAGAATTTTAGAAAAAAAAAAAAATTTTACATTTTACTTTTTTTTGCTACATCTGCTATCTACATCTCATCTACAATGTCTATTCTACATCTAACATGTAGATTGTACATGTTCCATTCATATTCTACATCTCCTCCGCTAGGGGTTGCTCGCGCACTGAACGCGGCAGCGTGTGCGAGCGAGAAGGAAAATGAGTTGCGTTGTCGTTTTCTGGAGGGGTGGGCAGGGGAAGCAACTGAAAATTAATTTCTTCATTCTGGCTATAATTATGATCCGATCTGATTCAGATTCGGCAGTCTGGTAGATATGGTCATTCTCTACGATACTGCGTTTTTAGTTTTATCGTACCTTTAAAAATGTGCCTGCCACAGATTTTCGTTCTTTGTGTGGGCGGAAGGGGGCGGGGCGAAATTTTGAAATACACTTGTAGCAGTGGGATATCACATAAGTCTGGAAACCAAATTTGGTTGCCCTAGCTCTTATAGTCTCTGAGATCTAGGCGCTCAACAAGACAGACAGACGGACAGACAGACATGGCTATATCGACTCGGCTATTGATGCTGATCAAGAATATATATACTTTATGGGGTCGGAAACGTTTCCTTCTCTGCGTTACACACATCCACTTTTACCACAAATCTAATATACCCCTTAACTCTTTTTTGAGTACGGGTATAAAAATTTAAACCCCGAAATCTATAAGAAAAAGTAATTTTTCTTTTTCAAACCAAAATATGGGGAAATCTTCCTATTAAAAAATGTATGTTTCTATATTTTAGTGCTCTGAAATAGATTTTTCTATTTTGATAATCCACAAATAAGTTTTCTTCATACTCGATAAAAATGAATAAATGGCGTAGAATAAAAAAAATAAACGTTTAACAGTTTCCCATACCGGGAATTGAACCCGGGCCTCCCGGGTGAGAGCCGGGTATCCTAACCACTAGACAATATGGGAGTTGAATTAATATCGGGGAAAATTTAATTTTGACTGAAACATCAATGAAGATCGTTTTTATGTCTCAAGATTTTTTTGGGTATTTGGGAGATTTATTTTAATCAACTTTATCCAATCTCTAAATTTATCCACATGTGTTTATGGGTAGCAAAGTGGACTGCCAAAAAATGATTTGAGAAAGAAGACACAAAATGTAATTAGCAAAAAGCAATTGGCAATATATTGATTTTCGCCAAACCAAGCAAATATATTCGTCAAACATTTCTAAAAAACTTGAGTATTTTACACGCTCTTATTTCAAGTTCAATTTTGACCACGTGTGTCTTTTCCAGCAATGGTAATAAGTGTATGTTTGATCGGAAAAACAAATGGGTGTCTGTCGAAGTAACACGAATTACAATGGGTGTGAGTAGATTACCTTGCCGTTCGTTGTTGTGTTGCCGAACAGCATATTTGAAGGATATATATGTAAATTTCTTCAATTATAATTTGATAGACTTGAATTATTAATTGACGAAAGTATTGTATTTATATTTTTTTATAGGTATAAAGTCGGTGGATAAGCGCGATGGCGCTGGTGCTCATAATTGGGGCTCTCCAAAACAAGACATTGAGGATAATAAAACGGGCGACTTTCCACTGCTTGAAGACAAAGAAGATTCGGGCACTGAACAATTGCCAGACCCTGTGAAAACTCTGGAGGAGGATGAGTCAAAGCAAATGACTCTTGATGAATGGAAAGCTTTAAGAGACAAACGTGTCAAGCCCAACTTTAATTTGCGAAAAGCTGGGGAAGGCGCTGATAACTCTGAATGGAAAAAGATGACTATTTTAAGCAAGAAAAAGGAAATAAACAGTGAAGATAATTTTGAATACGACCCATCGATGTATCCTCAACGTGTCGGCCGTCTTCAGCACGTTGTCGATATTCAATATAATTTTAATGATGCTCGCAAAGTGGGCTTCCGTAAGGAATTCCGTGGCCCACAACGCGGAGCCTCTCGACCTATCTCCTCTTCTAGTAACGAAAGGTTTGGAACAAATAAAGTAGGAGAAAAACGTCGTTCTGGTCCAAAACCTTTAAAAGTTGACGATGAGATTCAATTTCCTAATCTGTCTTAAAATAATTCCCGAGAAGAGAAATTTTCAACAATGACCCAAAAAAAAAACAATTGGGCTACTCCGGTTAATGAATAACCTTCAGGCGATATCTTTGAACTTTTTATACCCGACATTCAGCCACGCTTATTTGTATTCTTTAGTTTTAACGAAATATTTTTATAATTTCAATTTTTTATTTATTCATTTAAATCAACTATTGAGAATAGTTCAACATTTTGGAATAAATTTAGTTGATCTATATAAGAAAAGAGCACTTACTTGTTATATTTTTTATTACAATTTATTACCGAGTTTATTTTGAGTTAATGTTTTTGAAAAAAAATAAAGATACTACATATTAAAAATACTTTTAACTTTCTTCTGTACGTTTGATTAACAATTTTAATAATCTGCTGATCTATGTATGTGTTTATATTTGCTAAATACAATGGGCTGAATAACTTGACTTGTGATTTGTAAGGCACAAGGAAATCTGAGGCACACAGCCGATAGCTAGTTGCAGAAAATTAATTCATTTGAAATAAAAATAAAAATATGTGGTATCTGACCAAGCTGTGCTGGAGAGACAGCGGACGCATCGGACAGGAGCCGGTGCCTCACAAAGCTTCTGTAGCCTTCTTCCAGGTTGCATCAGGCAACCTTGATGATTTGATTTGATTTGATCAAGTTCAAATTAATACTTGCTAACTATTTTATTTAAAATATGAATACATTTACTATGTATATTTATACTATTCGATTTAATAAAAGAAATGTACATAAATACAAGTTAAAACTATCCTTATTGAAAGGAAACATTTTTATTTTTTTTTATTTTTCGTTTAATCGGCGTAGTGCCTTTATTGAGTAAAAGATTTCGACTGATTAATTCTAGAATATAAAATCTTAAAGTAACTTATGGTTGATCGCGGTAGAATAAATTCTGCAGCGGCAGAGGAACGCGTCATTGGCCGGCAGTGAAAAATAACTATAAGTCGCGGCGCATGTTTTAGGCAGGAAATGGAATTGCAAGTGGGCAATAACCTATTGTATAAGAGATTGTATGGTTTTTGGTTTATTTTGTAAATAAGATTTTTGAAGTCTTAGGGAGTTAACTTACATACATATGTATCTGCTCATTTAAGTATGTTGAACGCTAAGATAGCCATTCACTGTTCCACATCTCATTCCGTGCTGGAGTATGGTCTACCAACTCATCGCAACCAATTGCACCATCCTAATTCAACTGCTGAAATGGAAATCGAGCAATACTTTGCCATTCTAACAAAATAAAGGACAGATTTGCATTAAGCCCTCTAGAAAAGCAAAATAGTAATTAACCCACTCTAAATCATCGACCAGAAGATGTAATCCCTTGCACCTTTTGTGCATGTATGTATGGATGAAATACATGAAATTTAGATTCTTTCCGCACTATTATAATATCTTAACAGATTTTCCCAAGTTCCGCGATTACCAATTACCAGAAGGCTTAGCTTTTTATACCCGTACTAAAAATGAGTTAAGGGGTATATTGTATTTGTGGTAGATGTGGATGTGTGTAACGCAGAGAAGGAAACGTTTCCGACCTTATAATGTATATATTTTCTTGATTAGCATCAATAGCCGAGTCGATGTAGACATGTCTGTCTGTCCGTCTGTCTGTCTGTCTGTCCGTCTTGTTGAGCGCCTAGATCTCAGAGACTATAAAAGCTAGGACAACCAAATTTGGTTTCCAGACTCATGTGATATCACACTGCTACAAGTGTATTTCGAAAATTTCGCCCCACCTCCTTCAGCCACCACAAAGGACGAAAATCTGTGGCTGGAACAATTTTAAAGATACGATAAAACTAAAAACGCAGTATCGTAGAGAATGACTATATCTACCAGAATCCGAATGCCGAATCTGTATCAGATCGAATCATAATTATAGCCAGAATGAAGAAATTAATTTTTCAGTTGCTTCCCCCGCGTTCTGCACCACACAAAGCGCCGGCGCCACATTACAACAGACATTACACATATTACACTACTTATTACACACCAATTACACTCATATTATATTACACACATATATATTCCATACTATAAGGGACCAAAAAACTGAAGTTCCTTAAATAAATAATAAATAATAAACACAGTTGGAAAATTCAAACAAAGGGCGCGCGCGCCAAACCGACCCACGGCCACACTAATAGCGGAGCCGGGACGCGTTATGGCAAAACCAAAACGCGCTAGGCTCATATCGGGCCCCAACAGCTGAGCGCCGGCAATAAAAGGAGGATCGCCAGATCGAATCGGGGCAGTCCAACTCGGAAAGCCCTGGCCTAAGAAACCAGAATTTTTACAGCGGATCTTGTGCCAAAGGTAATATCTACCTTTCCACTCGTTCAGCTCAATACCTTACCTCTCCCCCCCAGAGTGTGTCCAAACCTCTGAATCCTCTCCAGAGTGTGTCCAAACCTCTGAATCCTCTCCAGAGGGTGTCCAAAACTCTGAATCCTCTCCAGAGTGTGTCCAAACCTCTGAATCCTCTCCAGAGTGTGTCCAAAACTCTGAATCCTCTCCAGAGTGTGTCCAAAGCTCTGAATCCTTTCCAAAGTGTGTCCAAAACTCTGAATCCTCTCCAGAGTGTGTCCAAACCTCTAGATCTTCTCCTCGGAGTGTGTTCAAACCTCCGCATCAATCTTCTCCTCGGTGCGTGTCCAAACCTCCGCACCAATCTTCTCCTCGGAGTGTGTTCAAACCTCCGCATCAATCTTCTCCTCGGAGTGTGTCCAAACCTCCGTACCAATCTTCTCCTCGGAGTGTGTTCAAACCTCCGCATCAAGCTTCTCCTCGGAGTGTGTTCAGACCTCCGCATCAATCTTATCCTCGGAGCGTGTGCAAACCTCCGCATCAATCTTCTCCTCGGAGTGTGTTCAAACCTCCACATCGAACTTCTCCTCGGAGCGTGTACGAACCTCCGCGCCGATCTTTCCCTCGGAGTGTGTTCAAACTTCCGCCTCCATACTACCGTCGGAGTACCCTCGAGCCACTCGACTTCCAAACCGACGCAGCACGCAGCAAACCGCCACGTGCGGCCGAGTAGCCAAAACCGAAGGAAGACCCAGACGAGTCACCACGATCCAACCTATTTCCAACTCTGTACAATTAAGACCAATAAAAAGAAAACCCTTTTACTATACTACTTGTCCTTGCTTTATTCTTGAACCGAGATATCCCTTTCAGCTACCACAGCCAGAAACCTAACAAATCTCTGTGAACCCGGCGCGGCGAGCATACCCCGGCCGAAGCGACATCACACATGTATGTAGCAAAAAAAATTAAAATACAAAATTTTTTTAAATTCTAAAATTCTAAAAAATCATAAGCTTAAAAATGTATATAATGACTGAGTACGGGTATAAGTAGAGTCGCGTCCCCAGAAGCGACTTACACGTTCCTTCTCGTTTGGTATTTATAAAAATGTCTCAGCCCTAACAAGGTTTTCTGCATTCTAATTCGGCGTTATTTAGTTTTCAGTGAATAATGAACAACAAAAGTGTTGGAGCTGGGAAGTAATTATTTTTTCGAAGAGTTTGGGAATGGCGGATAAATTGGAGATCCCACGTTAATTAGAAACATCCGATTTAGAGCCCTTTTTATGAATGGGAATAATATATGTTGACTCTTTCCAGACAGTGGGAAAATCGCCGAGCTCGAGAGATAGGTGAAACAGTTTAAGGAGGGGCAAACAGAGAAAATCTGCACAAAGTTTAAGGACAGCACTAGGATCCATATCGGGGCCGGTAGAAAAAGAAAATTTACATGACTTTAAATTAATTAAGAGGTCATTATAGTCGATGAAGAAGGGATAGCCAATGTAGATTACTAGCTTTAAATTTAAGTTGATTTCTCTTCGCTTCGATGTGTTTAGGGTATGGGCCAGTCTGCTAGCCATTTTTCTAAGGCCACGAGATGAGATTATAAGTGTTCCGTTGCTCTAAGAGGTTAAACGGTTTACTTGTTCAATTGTTCCATATTTTTCGTGAAATCCAAATTGGTGCATCGGGATGGCACCGTTGATGTGTAGGTGATGTTTGATACGATTCAGGAGCAGCTTTTCAAATATCTTTGATAGGAAAGGCAGTAGGCTGATAGGTCTATACGATGATGGCTTGGACTAGTCTCGATCATGCTCTTGTTGGTACGGACGCGTTCCAACATAGCTGTGAAAGACTGTGCAAAAACAATACAAACGGACAAGCCCACTACAGTGGCAAACACAAACATCAATTCTATTACCTTTCTCGTGCGACTAGTTCTAAGCGGGTGGTACTAGTGAGACTCGTGCCGCTCGTGGCCCTTAGGGCACGGTACTCGTGTGACTAGCGACGCTCGCGGTGATCCAATCAGCTCCGCTACTGCATCCGAACTTCAATCCCCGCTCATAGCCGAGCTGACTTTAACAAACTTTACTTGAAAACAACCCAAAGACCTAATTGTTACGGAAGGTCCATAAAATCAAGCCTCACAGAAAACAGCCGACTCTCACGTTCCTTGGCAGCAGTCAACAATAGTCAGCGAAATGATCAAAGCCCTATCTCATCAAATTAGTATGCACCCCTTGCGGCCCTTGACGAATCACCCACCGATCTCCCAGAGGATATGGAGCTCAGCCCTCCGATTGGGGGCACTGAATCTTCTTCCTCTAAACGCAATCCTCTGCCCCCTCCAATATTTATTCCTGGTGTAAATGACATCACAAAATTTTGGTCGTTGTTGGATGCGACGGTAAGCCCCGAAAATTTTCGAATCAAAACAAGTACTAGCGGACAAATAAGAATCCTGTGTAATGACTCCACCACATACTGCAAAATAGTGTCCGCACTCATAGAAAAGGGAGTTCTCTGTCACAGCTATCGGTTGAAAGAAGAAAGGACAAAATATTAATAAAAATCTACACCACTCCACTCCAATTGAGTATATTAAGCAAGATCTCATAGCAAATGGGCACCTCCCCAGATTCATTCACAATCCCCGTAATAGAGCAACCAATAAACAACTTAGCATATTTTTTGTTGACCTAGAGCCAATCGAAAAAAACAAAGAGATCTTCAACTTAAAAGACCTATGCAGGCAAAAGATATTGGTTGAGTGGCCCCAACGTCATCAAGCTATATCTCAGTGTCACCGCTGTCAAGAATTTGAGCACAATAAGAGATATTGCTACAAAAATGTGTCTGTGTTAAGTGTGGGGGCCAGATGCCACCATAGAATGCACAAATCCAGAAGATGTCGCTCCAAAATGTGCAAACTGTCTCACGCTCTC